AAAGTACAGGTAAAGGTTTATTGACTTTAATATTTAATATGTATCCTTTAATATTATTCTCTAAAAAGAAGGACTGATATAATTAGAAAAGTAATTGAAAAAGACTTTAAATTAATCCAGATGTGACCTTCATTGAAATATCTGCAGATCATTTCCCTTGGCTTGTTAGTGAAGTAGTTTACCTTTTAATCTGGGCTTTGAACTGATTCATTCTGGTTTGGCCTTTTGTTGAGAATTTGCATTTCTATTCCAGAGAAACTGAATCAGAATGAAGATGATCTTAACAAGATCCCAGGTGATTCTTGTTTAACTGGGATTGAAAATACAAATTCTCAACACTGGGCACAAACTAATAAGTTTGACAGTTTATTGCGTTTCCTCCCCTTATTGGGCAGTTTATCACTGTTTCTAACTGGGGTGTTTCATTTGCTAACCTGCTTTTTCCACCTCTATATGAATATTTTTGGGATTTGAACTTGAGACTTTATACACTGAAAAATTCCAGGTTGTCCCCTTAAAAGAGCTGAAGATTCCACTGGAAGAATTTGCCTCACATTCTGCTTGTTGCTTTAATTCTCGTGGGATGATTATGTTCCTAAATTAAGCTCTTTAAATCTCCCCCTTTGAGCCCCCACATCCCCCAGAACAATTTTTTTTTAATTTGCCAAGATTTTTCATCTTAGTTATCTTTTGTATATATGTACATTTGTATGTATTTAGTTTTTTTTGTTTGTTTGTTTTGTTTTTTTGTTTTTTTTTTAGTTCTGGTGTGGCGCTGTAGGATAAGCACTGGACTGTTAACTGGAAGATCAGCTGCTCAGACCCACTAGCCACTCCTCAGAAACTCTATGCAGAGTCACTAGGAAGTCAAAACTGACCCGATGGCACTTAACAACCACAACAACATTTTTTTTTTATCAACTTTGCACATGCCATAGTTTAAAACATAGTCACTTGACATTTTGGACCAGATAATTCTCTGTTTGTTAGAGATTATCTTATATATCATAGGACATTTGTCAGTATCCCTGGCCTCTACTCACTATATGCCAGTAACAATCCATCTCTCCCAATTATGGTCATTAAAAATGTCTCTAGACATTTCCAAATGTCTGCTGAGGAGCAAAATCCACACCCTACCCCACCTAACATTCCCAGTTAGGAACTACTGTTTTAAAGAATCAAATAATTTCACAGACTTTCTTATGAGAAAAAAAAAAAAAAAAAAAAGACAAGCTCTCCACTCCCTCAACCCTTTGGAGCAGTTCTACTCTGTAATACCTGGGGTTCGACCTGCAATAACAACCCTATGGCCTCACCCCCTTCCATGTCCTTCTTCCCAGAAACAACAACTTTCATTTCTTAATTGATTGTTTTGGAATTGACAATATGCTCTTGATTTTTAAGTTTTAAGTATCATTAATTGATTTCCTATATAGAAATTAGTATAATATTTATCTAAATTTTCTCAAGCCATATAGATATAATTGACCTTCTATCAAATTTAATCCCAACCTAGTTCTAGTGTGGTGCTGTAAGTAGGATAAGCGCTGAAATCCTAAACTCAAGGTTGGTGGCTGTAGGGTAAGCACTAGACTGCTAATCTCAAGGTCAGTGATTCAAACCCACCAACCACTCCTTGGAAATCTTATACAGGGTCACTATGAGTTGGAACCAACTCGACGGCACTTAACAACAACAAAACAACAGAGCTTTCTAACCTGTTCGACCTAGGTTGTCAGTTTCCCTTCATTGTCTAGTGCTAGATGGCACCCTGAGACTGTCCTTTACCCATTTTCAGATGTTGGCAGTATTAAAAATATCCTTCTAATGCTCCCTTCTTAGCAGGCAACTGGTTAAGTGCTTCATGAAACAAAAGAAAACTACAAGGAGACTTCAAAAAATTTGTGGAAAAATGAAATTAAGAGAAAAATTTCCACAAACTTTTTAAAGCTCACTTGTACATGAGAGAGGAGTCTGAGAATAGGAATGTTGTTGTTGTTAAGTACTGTGGAATCGGTTCCAACTCAGAGTTACCCTGCACAGGGTTTTCAAGGCTGTAAATCTTTATAGGAACAGAAAACCTCATCTTTCTCCCACAGAATAGCTGGTAGTTTTGAACTGCTGACCTTGAGGTTAGCAGCCCGTTTCGTAACCACTATGCTACCAGTGGACCTTGAAAACTGGAATAGTAACAAGAAATTCAACACAGAAGAGAAGCAAAGGGAATCCACAAGGTGAGGGTAAAGGACAGTCTCAGGGTGGCATCTAGCACCAGACATTGAAGGGATACTGACATCCCAGGTTGGACAGGTCAGAAGGCTCTGCTGTTATGTTGTTCAACGCCATTGAATCAGTTCCGACTCCTAGCAACCTTACATAAGGTTTCCGAGGAGTGGCCAATGGGTTTGAACTATAACACCATACCAGGACTCCAAAAATGACTCTAGTCTACCTTCATATGTGACTATTGTTTTGGCTAGTACACAATTCTAGGTTTGGATTTTTAAAGGTAATTAGATCACCATGCTTCTAGCTTCTTTGTTGCTTTGGGAATTCCAAAGCCTTTCTGATTCCTGATCCTTTACGTGTAACCAGTATTCTCTCTCTGAAACCTTATTGGATCTTCTCTCAGCTCCTAATATCTGATATTTTGCAGTTTTTATGCTTTTATTGCTCATTTTCCTAATGGGTTGGCCTTTTGAGCCTGTAAGCAGGTTGTTTAGTTCAGAGAAATTAATTTTTTTGATGGTTTATTCATCTGTTTTCCCTGTCATTTGGCATGTTAGGCAAGTCTTCTAATATTCTGATCTCTTCTCTCCCATTTTTTTAAAATTCTTTGTCTATGTGTTGCACTATCTGGAGATTTTAATGGCTTTGTCTTTTAATCCGTCTCTTATAGTTTAATTTTGAAGAGCACATTCTATCCTCTAAATAATCCTTTTTTCATAGTATTCAGTTTTTGTTTCAGGGATGGCACATTATCTCTTATCACTCTGAGAAGATGAGTGGGTATTTTTAAAGTTTTCTTTGCCCAACAGAGTCTGTTTCATATAGTTTTATTTTATCTCTTCTGGTCTCTATTTCTCACATATCTGTCACATATCTTTATAGCTAAGAAATGAGGACTAACTAAGCATGTGGTGGTGGTTCTGTGCCATGGAGTTGATTCTGACCCATAAAGCCCCTGTTTAGGGTTTCCAAAGCTGTAAATCTTTATGGGAGCAGAAAGCTTCATCTTTCTGCCAAGGAACAGCTGATAGTTTTGAACTACTGACTTTGAGGTTAGCAGCCCGACTTGTAACCACTATGCTACCAGAGCTCCTTAAGCATATAGGTAGGGCCATCAACAACAAGTTTCACTGGACAGTGGTCTAGCTGAACTGTTTGTTTAGCAAACTTCTGGTATCAGTATCTTTAGGTCTTCATTGACTTGTCTGATTCCTCTGACAAGATTCTTGCAATTTTCTTCCAGACAGTAACAGACTGTCTGTCAGCTTTCTTGGGACCATATGGCAAAACAGAGCTGGGGTTTCACATCTACTGTACACAGGAGTTAATGCATTACATCTTCCTGTTTTCAGTATGGTACCTCTAGCCTTCAACTCTACCTGACACTCTCTAGACACATTGACTTTACCTGTCTGAAGAGTAAGCCCCCTATCTGTTGCTGGTGGGGAGAAGGGCAGTCTAGAGTATGGAAAGGAGATTCAGAGATTCCTAAAATGATTTTCACTGAGTCTTCCCTTTTTTAGTTTCTCATCTTCATCTCTTTTAAATGCACCTGCTTCTCCCAATTCCTGAGCCTTTTGGGACTGTATCAAGCACATTGGTTCTTGGCTTTCCTTGCTGCTGGCTTAGGAATCGGCTTTCTCTGGTCTGCTAAGTCATTTAACATTTTTACATGTGCTTTCAAGCATCTTAAACTCCACTATGTCTCCTTTCTCATTCTTTGCATCTTATTGTGTTTTACTTTAAAAAAAAAAAAGTCTATTGTCATTTTAGTAAGGCATTGGGAGGGAGCAAAATTAAATGCATGCATTCAATCTGCCATCTTTTCCCTTGCGAGGTTAGCCTGTATCTTATAAATAAAATATGAGAAGTAAGTAAGTTTATCTCCCCTCCCACCAACTAAACTCATTATGCTGTGAATATCAGCAGAATACCCAAAGGATATCAATAATTATTTGTTGTTCAGTAAGCAGTGCTTCATTTTTATTCATATAAAGCTTGTAAATCCCATGTCATTTTAGATGAAGAAAGCAAGAAATACCAAATTTTTAAGCCAAACCCTAGCTTTCTTTATGACAAAATTCATGTTTAATTTGTATGGAAAAAAATCTCTGGAATATAATAAGCAGTCTGCAGTAACTGTGGTTATTCCTCTTATCACTAAAAATATCTTGTTGATATTTCTTCAGTAGTTTTTATGTTTTCTTTATTTGTTTGGTTTTTAGTTTAGTCACATGCCATCCCATTTAGATAACGAACATCTCATTTGTCTCAGTCATCAGCAGTTCTAACAAACATTTCCCATGGAAATACTCAGAATTGTGCATATAGTTTTATAATAATATTGGTTATTACAACATTGAATGCCAACAATAAATGACTGATTAAATACATTATGGCATTCCATACAATAGAATACTATGCAGCTATGAAAAATGTTTTGCAAAAAAAATTCAGTAACATGAAGATATATATTAAGATTTAAAGCAAAAGAAAAATGTAATCCAAATAATTTAGAAAATCAATAAATATATTTTAACACCCAAAGAGTAAACAATATAAGGCTTGAGGAAAAACACATTACAATGTTAATGAGGATTATTTGGAGGAGAAAGGATTGCTAGGGATTTTTTTTTCCTCTTTGTGCTTTTGGAAATCTCTCACTTTTCACTTTTCTAAAGTAAAGATGTGTTTAAAACATATTTATACTCACAACCACATTCATGTGCATAAATTAGATTTTTTAATTAAATAAATTCTGCTTTAAGATATCTGCTGGGCGTCCTGGAGAGCTGGGATCCCCTGGGGAGCCAGGACCCCCTGGAAGAAAGGTAAATTTTGAAAATCCATACATCACATCAAGCCATTTTTCACTTGCTTTCTGCTTCTGCTGCCTAGTCAATTGCTTGAATATTTTTCCACATTCACGTGCTCAGAGAGGAGATCAAATGCCAATTAAAAATTAATTGCCATCTCTTGGAAGCTGGGGTAATAGCAAGAAAATTAAAAGTCCTGGTCTAAAATGAAATTTCTAGATTTTCAGAGAATTTTGTTTACCACTCCAGTCCTTGTGCTCTGATTTTATTCAGTGTGAACAGTGAATGAATGAAGGCAAGAGGAAAGTGAACAGATGATTACTTTCACATGGACTTTACTAATTTTTTTTCAAGAGTTTGTGGGGAGGCTCCATTGCATTTTGTCTGGGAGAGCCAGACTCTTCCTGGCCCCAAAGATGGATTGGTGTTGGTGGTGGTTGTGTGCCATTGAGTCGGTTCCAACTCATAGCAACCTTGCAATGGGTTTCCACTGTAAATCTTTATGGGAGCAGAAAGTCTCATCTGTATGAGGCTTTCTGTATTGTTTATGTGATGAGTATCCTACATGCATTCTCTTTTCCCTGTAATTTAAGAAGAACTATAAAGCTTATCATTTTCTCAGGGTACACATTGGTAAACATTCTGGTTACTGGGCGTGTAACCCATATTTTTTTGTTTCCTAGGGCGTGAAAGGAGCCAAAGGATGGGCTTCATTTTCCGTATGTATCTCCTGATTCCAAGAGCGCTCTGAGCACCCCATCAAGTGTATGCATTTTAAAAGTTCAGGACCTATCAGTCTGCCAGCTAATTCTCTGTTTTATTTTTGAACTGCAGACATGTGAGCTTATCCAGTATGTGCGGGATCACAGTCGTAAGTACCCTGCTGAAAATGATCACCCAGGGAGCCAGATTCATAGAAGGAAAGCAGTGAACTCTACACTCTGAATTGAGACAATTTACAAGCCAATTTCTTAAAATTAGAGGTGTCACTGCATAGATTTTGAGTTGGCAAAGATGAGTGACTATTATCTTCTTTTCTGGCTGCCAGCTTGTCGATTTGAACCCCTTCCAAGCCCTAAATAATAATAATATACCTAGTACTTTTGATCTAGGGGAAATTGAGGTGTAAGGTCAAGTCTTCTGATAGTGAAATCCATCAGCAGAGAGTGACACTGAACTTTTTTCAAGTGGGTATTAAGAACTGGCGGTAATTGACAGAGTTGAATTCACTTGGTGGTAAAGAGGCAACTGTGATAACAGGGTGACCTAGAGAATGGGACTTGGCTTTGGTTCATTGTTTATTGCTCCTTTCCTAGAAATACTTCTAACTGGACTGATGGACTAACTCGTAAAATTATTCATTCTGCTGGGGTTTTTTGGTTTTTTTCTCCTTTTTCCTCTCAAAATTTTAAATGCCTTTTGATTTGGCAAACACTTTTCTGAATTTGCTTTAAGATTGTCAGAGCAGCCTCTTCTATCAACATATGAGCTAGTGCCAGCAAAGAAATTCCATGCCTGTGAGTCAGAGAGAACAAACTTTTCAATATTCATCCACAAATGCTTAATGACTGCCCAAATAAACATGACTGAAAGGAGAAACCAAATGTTACCTTGGAGCACTTTAGGGGAGAAAAATAGACAAATTAGAACACATTTATGTCCTGTTAACTGCAAGGTTAGTGGTTCAAACCCACCAGCTGCTCCTCGGAAACTATACACAAGGTCACTATGAGTCAGAACAGTTTCAATGGCACACAACAATGTAGAGAACATTGGTCTCCAAGACAGAGACTTTAAAAACATTTTAAGGCAGTTAGCCTTAACTTGGTCTTTTTTGTTTTATCAGAATAGAACCACAATGGGAATCAAATCTGTACATTGGGTCATAAAGACTGCTTTCTTTGGGGCTGAATTAGTACAGTAGATTTTCTAACCTGGTAGCCATGTGAACAGTAATGGCAGATTCCAGTGTGATGGGGCCTGATCCTTTTAAATGTGAGGGATCTGAAATACAATGATAAATCCAAAAGTAGGTACAAAGCTATTTCACATACAAGTAGTATTTAGAATAAGAAGCGAAATCAGAATCAATGGAGGTTGCATTTATAAAAGGGTGAGGTGAACATAATGATGATCAGCCCTCCCAGAGTCTTGCAACAGGCCCCTGCACATAAGACGCTTAAGCAATGCTGACCAAGAGAACTTTCTGCAGTGACAGAAGTCTTTCAGTGCACTGTCCAGTATGGTACTTAGCAACTACAATTATGGTGGTGCTGTAGAATAAGCACTGAATTACTAACTGCAAGGCCCACCACCCGCTCCTCGGAAATTCTGAGTTAGAACCCACTCTACAGCACTTAACTACAACAGCAATAGCCATCTTCAGATACAGAGCACTTGAAATGTGGCTAGTGCAGGTGAGGAGCTGAATTTTAAAATTTTCAGCCCATTTTAATTCATTTAGATGTAAAGAGCCATCTATGATTAGTGGCTACCCTATTATACAGTGCAAGTCTAAAGCTTAAGTGTCGTTTGCTTCAGAGAAAATCTACCTCCAATAGCGAGAACATGTGAGTACACACACACTCAGTATATACAAAATCATTAACTATAGATATCTACATGGGTCACACTGGAAGTGTGTTCAGACTAAAGAGAGCTTAGCACCCATTCAAATGCTTTCTGAATTCAGGGACCTACCTCCTCCCTGCAGCACAGTGTTCCCTCCCAGACAAAAGTCATTTGCCTCTGACAGCTGACTACAGACTGCTGATTTATTGTCCCACCTCTCCTCCCTTCCCTCCCCTATGGTTAAAATAATAATAAAGTGCCTTTACCAAGATGCTAGGTTCTCTCTACAAATTCTCCAAACCCTACCTGCTACCTTGATTTTTGAGTCATCTACAAAAAACACCTAGGCAAAACTTCAGTCAGCATGAATTTCATGTAAGGTACAGAACTCTGTTCTCCTACCAAAGAATAACCCAGTCTCCTTTGTTCTTCTTCCCCAGCTGGTGGACATGGTGAGTAATCTTTATTTACAGCATTTTTTAATCAACATCCAAACTGTTTACATGAGTTAGAACAATGTGTTGCCTACCAAATGATATAAATTTTATCTGCACATTCTTTGCTGACTTTTAATGATAGTACAAACCTAACAGGAATCCTGGTGTGGCGCTGTAGGATAAGCACTGGACTGCTAACCACAAGGTCAGTGGTTCAAACCCACCAGTCACTCCTTAGAAACAGTCGCTATGAGTTAGAACTGATTTGACAGCATTTAACAACAGTAGCAACGCAAACACAATCATTCTGTTTTAGCAGAGCTTCACAGCTGTTTCTCACCCAATGGGTTTATTCTTTTATTAGTTGTTATCAAGTGACGTTAAGTCAGTTCCAACTCATAGCAACCCTAAATAGAGTTTCTAAGGAGTGGTGGCTGGGTTTGAACCACTAGCCTTGCGGTTAGCAGTCCAGTACGTACCTTCCAAAATATTTTGAATATCTGTTCAGTCCACTAAATTTGAGTCAAAGGCTGACAAATGATTTCCTATAGTTTCATTTTTTTTCACAGAGGTGAATACTTTGGTTTGGGTTTATTTTTGTCACTGGCCAGGTGAGAAATCCTTTTTCCCATGAAGGTCAGGGCACCAATGACCAGAAAGAGATAATAACCTACCACTAAGGTGACATCATTGATGGCGTCAAGTGTGGTGGCAGTAGTGAGGTTGGCCCAGGATCGGACATTGTTTCTTTCTGCTGTGCATGGGGTCGCTATGAGTCAGTTTTGACTCAATGGCACCTGACAACAACAACAAAGTGGGCAAAAAGATGAGGTTTTCTGCACCCACAAAGATTTACAGCCTCAGAAACCCTATACAGGGTCACTTTGAGTCAGAACTGACTCAACAGTGCTTAACAAGAACAACTAGGTGGACAAGGCCCAGCTGGCCCTATGGCAGAGTGGGGACTCATCCTTGGCTGACCTGGACAAGCCCCAGTCAGTGTGAGTTCCTGACCTAGCTTGTGAAGAGCCATTGGGTTTCATGCTGTTTCTTATGTCAGACTTGCTGGCCTTGAATACGAGGAGTCATCCCTCCAAGAGAAATGTGCCTTCAGGGTTTCCTTGTACCAACCTACATCCCAACACCAAGCATCTCACCCACTAATCAAGTGTTGTTTTTCTTCCTATACTTATTGCAAATAACTGCTTTTGGATCATTTTTTTCATCTATTCAACATTTATTAAATTTCTATCATATGGCTCCATAGCATAAGCACTAGACTACGAACCACTAGGTCAGAAGTTTGAGCCCATCAGTCCCTCTATGGGAGAAAAATGTGACTTCTGCTTCCATGAAGATTTAAAGCTTCAGAAACCCTATACAGGGTCGCTATGAGTCAGAACCGACTCAACAGCACTTAACAACAACAATCATGTGGCCAGGACTAATAACCTGCAAGGAGTCCCTGGGTGATAGGAACAGTTAGTGCTTCACTACTAACCAAAAGGTTGCAGGTTCAAACCCACCCTGAGGTGCCTCAGAAAAAGGCCTAGCAATCAATTTTCTAAAGATCATGGCTACTGAAAATTATATGCAACACAAACAGTTCTGTTCGGAGACACATGGGGTCACCATAAGCCAGAATTAACTCAATGGCAACCAGTTTGGTCTTTCTCTTTTTTTAATAACCTGGACAAGAAAATCACAATCCCTATCTTCATACTTCATAAAGTAATAGGAGAGATAAACATTAATCAGATAATCAGACAAATGCAAATTGCCAACTGCGCAGAATACTGGGATTAAGGATGAATGATTATGCTGAATGAGTTCAGGTAGATAATCTGTAATTAATATGTACACTAGAGTTTAACATGCATAATGTAAGTCTCTCTAAAGGCATATTTATTTGGTGAACTTGCATTTTTAACTTAAATAAAGGTTTATCTGTTAAATCTTTTTTTCATTCACCTTTTAGTGATTCTGTTCTCTCACAATAAAAAAGATTGTAGTAATAATTATAACAGTTATTAATAACATTTACTGAGCACCTACTACTTGCCAGTCACTGTTTCCTAAGTGTTTACCTGAGTTGATTTATTTAGTCCTCCTCATAGGTCTAGGCAATAGGTGATATTTTGACTAGTTTTCAAATGAGAAAACTGAAGGGTAAGTAACTTGTATGAAGTCACAGGCTAGTAAGTAGTAGGGTCAGGACTGTACCCCAAATATTGAGCTCTAAGCACTGTCCTATAGTGCCTCTGTCTTTATTATGCGTACTGTATGTCAGTTCTGAATTTCCTGATTTTATTAGCAGTTGAAGGCTTGTGTAGTACTGTAGAATAAGCATTGGACACGTTCAGTGGTTCAAATCCACCAGCTGCTCCTCAGAAACCCTTTACAAGGTCAGTATGAGTCAAAATCAACTCAACAGAATTTAAATAAACAACAACTAAATTTTTATGGTCACACTTTCCTTTTTTTTACACACAGTATACTTCTTCATTAAATAGGAAAACATACCTGTTTTATTCAATTGAGTAGTTACAGCAACAATATAGAATTCCATGGGCCAAATGTGTATAGGTGAAAGAACTTTTTTGTGAGCTATTTATATTTTAGAAATCATTTGATAAATTTTTATAGCCAAATACCAAACCCATTGCCACTGGAGTCACAGGACAGGGTAGAAAGCTCCATAGGGTTTCCCAGGCTGTAGTCTCTACAGAAGCAGACTTCTCATCTTTCTTCTATGGAGCAGTTGGGAGGTTCGAACCACTGACCTCTTGGTTAGCAGCTGAGTATTTAACCACTGTGCCACCAGGGCTCCTTATAGATTTCATAAAACATTAAATTATCATCTTTTTACTCTTGTGCTTCATTAAAAAGAAATAAACTCTATTTTAAGAGCATTTTTAATAGTCAAGATTTAAATGTTTAATCTTTATTTGATATTCATTTTAATATTGTTTACTGCTTAAATATTTGAGTAGTTACCTTTTAAAATCATTTTACTATCTATACACCCATTTTTTTAAGCTTTTCATTGTGAATTGAGTAGAGGTTTTACAGAGCAGATCATCAATTTCACATTTAATGAATCATATACTTGGCTGCATGACATTGCTTGCAATTCCCTCTTTTGTGTACCCATTTTTAAAGCGAGCATGCTACATAATGGGTCTGTTTTTGCCTTTTGGAGTCTTTGAGTGATACAAATAGTCCACACACTCTGCTATTAAATGATAGGCTGGAAGTACAGGTTCACTCAGAAATTCCTCAGAAGAAAGATCTGCTGATCTGTGTCTGAAAAAGCAGCCACTGAAAACGTCATGGAAAACACATCTACTTTGATACCCAGGGGGTCACCATGAGGCAGGTTCCCCTCAATGGCAACTGGGTTTGTTTTGTTTTGCCTTTTAGGAAAACCTGAATGCCCTGTGCATCCAACCGAATTGGTGTTTGCCTTAGACCAGTCCCGGGACGTCACCGAGCAGGATTTTGCACAAATGAAGGCCATGATCTCCTCAGTCGTGAGAGAAATTAAAGTCCGGGAGAACAGTTGTCCTGTGGGAGCACGCATTGCCATTCTATCCTATAATTCCTACACCAAGCACCTCATCCGCTTTTCAGATGCCTACAATAAGAACCAACTTCTCAGGGAAATTGAAGCTATTCCTTATGAGAGATCCACAGACAGCAGGGAGATCGGCAAAACAATGAGGTTTATTTCCAGGAATGTCTTCAAGCGAACACTCCCAGGGGCCCACACGAGAAGAATCGCCACATTTTTTAGCAATGGCCACTCTGCTGATGTCCAGTCCATCACCACAGCCACCATGGAATTCAGTGCCCTTGACATAGTGCCCATAGTGATCGCTTTCAGAAACACGCCTTCTGTCAGGCGTGCATTTGCGGTAAGAGATTCTAGCCTTCTGCCTAACAATTTTTTTTTTTCCCTGTGTGTTCACAAGCTTCTAGATTTAGAACTATTCTTCCATGCCTTCAGAATTAGGATTAAATGTTTGAAATTGCTCTTGAAAAAAATTCTGGGTTGGTAGAGTGTGGAGATCTGGTGTGGCTGTGGGTTAATGCAGCAGACTGCAAGCCGTTTGAACTGCAAGGTCTGCGGTTCAAGGTCACCAGCTGCTCCTTCAAAACCCTATGCAGGGTCGCTATGTGTCGGAACTGACTCAATGGCACTTAACAACAACAACAACCAGTGTAATTGTAAGGAGTCCTGGTGGTGCAGAGGATTATGTACTGGGCTGCTAACTGCAAAATAAGCAGTTGAATCCTGCCGCTCTGCAGGAAAAAGATGAGGCTTTCTGTTTCCTTGAAGATGTAAAGCCTTGGAAACCCTATACAGGATCACTATGAATCAGAACCAACTACGCAGCACACAACCACCACCACCACCACGATCACCAGAGTATCATTGTAGTATTTGTTACTCTGATACCAGGACCATTTACATGCATTATCCTGTTTGAGTCTCACAAGTAGAGCCTTGAGATGGATTTATTTGTTTTTCCCATTTTACAGATGAGAAAATTATGCTATTTACTATTTCACACAGCTAATAAGTCTTAATGTCAAGACATGAACCCTGCTTCTCAGGGCCACAGAATTGGTTCAGGGTCTAAACCAGGAAGGACTGCAAATATCTGTGGTTGTCGTTAATATGGCTAAGGTAGCGGTGGGGTGGTTTGATGAAATACGTTTGACTGATTTTATAACCTAATCATTCATGAAAAGATCCAGATTTTTTTCCAAGGAAAAGCCACTCCAGATATAGCTTCTAGGGTTGGAGTTGAAAGCTTAATATGTGATTTTCCTAAATAAAACTTGTGGAGGTCAGTCTAACCATGGGGTTTGGTTCTTTATTCAGAAAGAGATCTTGAAGAGAGACCCCAAGGAGCAGCAAAAAGGTATTAGTAAATGTCAACCACTTGAAAAAGGATTTCTTTTAGAGAAGGACAGTAAAGGAAGCCATTAAATCACTGTCTTTACAAGTTTGGGGAAGAAAAAATAGTTTTGAAAATCTCATATTAGAGAAACTGGGTATAATGTTGTTGTTAAGTTCCGTTGAGTCATTTCCAACTCATAGCAACCCTGTATAGGGTTTCCGAGGAGTGGCTGGTGAGCTTGAACCGCTGACCTTTTGCAGTTCACACCCAGCTTGAGGTCCAGTTTTTAGGGTACAGCACCACACCAGAGCTCTGCTAGGTGTAATAGCAGTATGAAATTCCACGCTGGGTTTAAGAAAGAACTTTCTGAAAAGTTTTGTTTTACTGTGGACATGGACTAAATGCAGGTGGTCAAGATGTCACTTTTACAGGGGCAGTTGCTTACCTGTTAACAGTGACCTCTATTCTTTTCGGGCCTCTAGTCAGAATTAAATGGCCTTTTGAGGTTCTCTTGAGCTCTGTAATTTTCTATAAAGGTGGTTAAATAAGTAAAACAGAGTTGAAATAAAATACTCCTTTGTAAAATATGGGAAACAGTACCGATTTCCTAGAGTTGATGTGAAGAGTAAATGCTACAATGCAGGTACGTTAGTGCCCAGTACATAGTAAGCACTAAGGGATGATCACTATTGGTTTGATCGTTGTTGTTGTTAAATGTCGTCGAGTGGGTTCCGACTCACAGCAACCCTGTATAAGGTTTCCAAGGAGCAGCTGGTGTTTTTGAACCACCGACCTTGTGAATTGCAATCCAGTGCTTATCCTATGGCACCACGCCAGGACTTCATTGCTTTGATTACTAGTGCTATCTATATTCAGTTTCATGATGCTGAACTAAAATCAGTTTCATAATATTGAAGTGTAGGTTATAAAGGAGCTGAAACTGCACTTAGCATCATTGTAGGAACTCTCAGAATTATGCAGATAAAAAGACTGATGTGTCAGGTTCAGACAGGAAGATACACAGACTTTAGAAAAGACTGGGAAAAGGCTATGCACATAAAGCTGCTTTGTACCACAGCAGTGCAAAGCTTTGGTAACACACAGAGTCCTCATCATTCCCTCTATTCATTGAGAGCCCGCATCATCTCTTGACTGTATTTAGGCATACACTATATCCTGATGTAAATAATTGAGGGTACTTGTGATACAAATGTAACTTGCACAATCCCACCTACCCATTCAAAGGTATATGCCCAACCTATAACTTACAAAAAACATATTTGGTTGGGATTTTTTTTTGTTTACTTGCTTGTCTTATTATGCTAAATATATATTTAACAAAACACTTTCCATTTTAGCAATCTTCAAATTTACAGTTCACTGACATCAGTTATGGTCATCATGCTGTTCAGCCTTTACCTTTGGTTCTGTGGGTTAATGCGCCAGACTGCAAAGCTGTTTGTACTGCAAGGATGGTCATTTAAGCTCACCAGTTGCTCCTTGGAAACCCTTTACAGGGTCGCTATGGGTCGGAAATGACTCAATGGCACTTAACAACAAGAACAGCAACACCCTTAATGTTTTGAGTGCTAACAGACCAGCTGCTCCTTGGAAACCCTCGACAGGGTCTCTGTGGGTCAAAACCAACTTGACGGCGCTTCGCAACAACACTCTCACTTACAGATGAAACTTGTTTCTTGATTCTATCTGTTTAATGAGCACCTGATGTATGCCATGTGTTACCCTAAGCTCTGGGGATACAAGAACAAACTAGGAAAGCAAAAGTCCTATGAAGCTGACTTTAGAATAGGACTAGGTTTATCTGGTGGTGGTGGTTATGTGCCGTGGAGTCGGTTCTGACTTATAGCGACCCTGTACAGGGTTTCCGAGGCTGTAAATCTTTACAGGAGCAGAAAGCCTCATCTTTCTCCCGTGGAACCCAGCTGGTAGTTTTGAACTGCTGACCTTGCGATTCACAGCCCAATGCGTAACCACTACACTACCAGAGCTCCTTCGGTTTGTCTAGAAAGGGCTTAAAACAAGTTCTTGAGAACCCAATACCTGACACTGCAGAAGGGAAATATATTTTGCTTCCCCCCACCCTCAATTTCTTCTATTTATTCTCTTCTATTGTGCTTTTGTTGTTGTTGTTGTTGTTAGTTGTCATCGAGTCATATCTGACTCACAATGTCCCCTGTTTACAGAGTAAAACAGGGGTCATTGTGACCCTGGAAGGATTCTAATGATCAACATTTCAAGCACTTAATCATTTGTTCCACTCAGTAGGAACCTTCAACTTTCATGTACTCTGATTATTTTTTTGAGACCAGAACTCAAAGTTTTACTGATAAAATGCTGCCCTGCATCATCATTTTGAGCTTATATATGTTGTTGTTGGTGGTGTTGTTAAGTGCCGTCGAGTATATATATATATTAACTTTTTATTGTAAATTGAGTGACAGTTCACAAACAAGATCATCAGTTTTATATTTAAGAAGAATTATTTTTATATTCAAGAAGAGTGTCATTACCCCAATCATACATTTTGTTTCTTAATGCTTTCAATCCCCTCCATGCATAAATGGTGATCCTGCTTCTTCCCTTTGGTTCCTATTTCCATTCTATCCACTTTACCATCCTTTCTCAACTTTGTCCTTAAGTACATGTTGTCCTTTTGATTTCGAATGATAGACCATTCCGTGGTGACCATACCATACTAATGTCCCTGCTAGATACCTATATACTACTTGGCTGAATATTGGACCACAAGGGTAGGTTCCTTTCCGACCTGAAGGGTGATCAAGGGCCATAGTCTTGGGTTCCTCCAGTCCCTTTCTGACCAGTAAGCCTAGTATTTTTTCGTAATCTTAAATTTTATTCCACATTTTCTCCCACTCTACCCTGGACCTTCTAATATAATCCCATTCAGAGCAGTTGGTAGTAGTAGCCAGGCATCATCTAGTTCTTCTGATCTCAGAGATGTAGAAATTGATGTGCACATGTTCCATTATTCCCTTGGACTAATTGATTCCAAGCATCTTCAATTCTCATCACTCTTCTTTCTTTCACACATGGAGAGACCAATAGTTGCACCTTAGATGGCCACTCATGAGCTTTAAAGATCCCAGATGCTACTCACCAAAGTAGGATGTAGAACAGTGTCTTTGTGGATTACGTTATGCCAACTGACCATGTTGTCCTCTGAGACTATGGACCTGAGTCCCCAGGCCCAACAACTCATTGGCTTAAGATGTTTGATAATGCCTAAGAAGTTTTCGTCACATTCATGATTGTGTTTGCAGCAATGTAAATACATGATTGTGTTTTCATCAAATGTAAATACCCATGTACAGATATCCCCTTTTAAGCCCTTATAAATTTGTGGGCATACCCTGACTCTTCTTGAGGTCATAATTTAAAATTCTAGTTTGTTTCATCATTACCATGACTTTTACAAATCTCATTTCATCTGAGTGTCATTACCCAGTGTGAAATCTCCTGCCTATGCAAACACATGTGGAGGAATTCGGGAGCAGATGCTGTGACAGCATGGAGAAATTTCCCATGCTCCTTAATGAATGGATTGTGAACGCTATCTTGGAAATGTCTAACAATGGTGTAAATTGGATTAATGAACTATTCATTCCAAAGTGGAAGGCCATTTTTTATGGAAAGCCTCAAACCCTACTTCATTTTGCATGGAGAATTTTTCTATAAATTCACTTGAAAATTGCCTTTTACTTTGAATGAAATTGTACTTGCTTTTCATTAGATATTCTAATATAGAGTAGGTCTCCCTTTCTAATGTACTTGTAAGAAATGTGTCTCTCTTTGAAAAACCAGTTGCCATGGGATTGATTCTGACTAATGGTGATCCAGTGTGTATCAGAGTAGAACTATGCTCCATAGGGTTTTTATGGTTGATTTTTCATAAGTAGGTCAACAGGTCTTTCTTCTGAGGTGTTTCTGGGTGGACATGAACCATTCAGTTAGAAGCTGAGTGCATTAATGATCTGATCACAGTTCTGTGGAGGCTTTTGTGTAGCTGTTCTGCTAGAAGATATACCTCCAGCATGGTCACCTATGGTAGACAGGTTTCAGCTGAGCTTCCAGACTAAGACTCAGAAGGAGAGACTAACTACTTCTGAATACTTATGAATAGCAGTGGAACACTGTCAGATAGCACCAGAATACTGAACATTGAAACATAATGAATAGCACCAGACTATTGTGAGGTTTAGTGCCAGAAAATGAGCTCATCAGGTTGGAAGGCACTCAAAATACAGCTGGGAAGAGCTAACTCCTCAAAGTGGAGCTGACCGTGATGATGTGTATAGAGTAAAGCTTTAGGAACCTTCACTTGCTGTTGGGCACAACTCAAAATGAATGGATGTGACACAGCTGCAAACATCATTAATAATTGGAACATGGAAAGTACGCAATATGAATCTAGGAAAATCAGAAGTTGTCAAAAGTAAAATGGAACACGTAAAGATGAAATGGACTGGTATTTGCCATTTAGAATCTGACATTCACGTGGTGTACTGTGCTGAGAATGACAAATTCAAGAGGAATGGCATGCCATGCATCATTAAAAAAAGGAACATTTCAAGATATTTCTTCAAGTATAATGTTGTCTGTGACAGGAAAGTATCCATATGCCTACAAGGCAGACCAAGTAATATTAGTCAAATTTCTGCACCAACCACTAAAGTCAGTGATTATGAAACTGAAGAATTCTACCAACTTCTTCAATCTGAAATTGATCAAACATGCAATCAAGATGCATTGATAATTACTAGCAATTGAAAAGTAAAGGTTGGAAACAGAGAGAGAGGATCAATCGTTGGAAAATATGGCCTTAGTGATAGAAATGATGCTGGAGATCAAGTTAATTATTGTTGATTATCTGTGGCCTCCGTCTGTTCTCCCAGCTCTCCACTCTCCAGCTCCCCAGATGGGTTACTAGCAGTGGGTCAAATTGAATTGAATGGAGAGCTGTTCAGACAGGAATGATGCCTGGACATAGATCTGGGTCTCCATTTTAAAGCCAATGTCAATGCCTGGTTTACAATGAGAACTCAAAGGATGCTTATAAGTTTCACATGGTTCTCTGGGACTTGAGAGTGGGGGTTTCTAATCCTCTTCTTTAGACAGTTTCAGTGTTCGATGTCTTTTGATCAGTCCCTTCACCTTTTACTGAGCTTCTGTTTCCTCATCTGTAAAATGGGCCAGTGAGCAGAGATAACTCACTATTCAGGTATTGAGATAATAGATCTGACCACAATTTGTAAACTGCCAGGTGGTTTTCAGTTATCCACATGGCACTTACCATGTGCTAGTAAGTATTTTACAATTATGAACGTTTAATGATCACAGTAGTCCTATCATCGGTAGTAGTATACCAGCAGATTCCTGTGTGGCACAAATGGTTTGCACTTGCCCTGATGGTACTGTAAGATAAGCACTGGACTACAAGGTTGGCATTTTAAACTCACCAACCACACTTCAGAAGAAAAACGAGGCTTTCTGTTCCTGTAAAGATTTACCTCAGAAAAAACTAAGGGTTACTAAGTGTTGGAATCTACTCAGTTGTTTGCTTTTTGTTTGTTTACTTTTCCTTGCCGGGGAGGAGTATTAAGCTAAAGAGTAGTTTGAACACACCCAGGAGCACCATGGAAGACCTGATCATCTACTTCCAAAAGGATTACAGCCAAGAAAACCCTGTAGAACAGTTCTACTTTATACATGGAGTCACCATGAGGTGCAATCGACTTGGTGGGTTTTGATTGGCTATTATCTCTGTTTTACAGATGAGGAGACAGAAGTAAATAATCTGCTCATGCAGTTAAAGGGAACCTCAAAGTTTAAACCCAGCCAGTGCTCTTAGTCTACCTGACATGCTGCAGTGACCATAACCTTCTTAGAAGGAGCAGCTTTGATCTCTCCAGATCTCAGTTTTCTGAGCAATCTTGGAAGACTTTTGCAGCACCACTCACTAAGCTGTTCTTTGTCTTGCTTCTGCTCCTTGCAGATCGATGACACTGGCACATTCCAAGTAGTAATGATTCCTTCGGGGGCTGACTACACGCCAGCACTAGAAAGCCTTCAGCGGTGCACTTTCTGCTACGGTAAGACCCACAGAGCGAGCATCCTCTGGTCAGGCCTGTTAACACAGTGAGTCACAGTTGGCAGGAGCAGCTGGAACTTGGCAGTTGAGATGTGAGCAGCCCAGAAGAACTTCCCTGGAGCTCTGGGCTCACCCCATCACACTGCATCTTCTACAGATGGAACATCTCAACTCAGCAAGCAGGGTCTTCTCCTATAGATCACAGCAGGAGAGTTGCATTGCCGGCTTCACTACTTACTGTTTCTCACTTATTATTTTGTTATCCAACAGTCTGCATTTACAGTAGTAGTAAAAAATCTACTATCCATTAACAACTTTTGTTTGGCAGTAACCAACACCAAGGTACAAGGTGAGAATTAACACATGCTGTGATGGTAAAGGTTATATGTCAACTTGGCTAGGCCACAATCCTCAGTGGTTTGGCAGTTACATGAGGATGATGACATTTGGCCATTATATAATGATGTAGTCATTCTTCATTTTAGATGTGGTCATCCTCCATTTTTGCATAATGCCCATTTTCACATAATGACCTGTTTTTGGGAACCTAACCATGCCGATAAGTGAGGAAAGGGTGTAGTAAGTACAGCTTTCAAAGCTTGTTGTTAGATGCCATCGAGTTGGTACTGACTCATAGCGACCTTAATTATGCACAGCAGAACAGATCCTGGGCCAACCTCACTATTGTTGCCACATTTGAGTCTATCAATGATGCCACTTGGCCAATCCATCTCGTTGGGGGTCTTCCTCTTTTTCTCTGACCCTCCACCTTACCAAACATGATATCCTTCT